ATTAATGGCACAACTGAGGACTGTGTATATTTTACCTTCAAGAGAAGGTTTGTAGGGAAAGTCGAAGAGATAAGTGCCACTCACAATGGTCACTGTAAAAACAGTTATAATACATCTCACACAGAACATGGCTACTGAGTTGCCAACCTTTCTCCCTCTGCTCTGATTCGACAGTGGCGTTAGTCCCAACATCACACATGATATCCTCATCCTCCTCACTGCTCCCACTGACAGTTGGAGCCTCCTCGTGGAGAGCAGGGTAAGCCAAAAATGCAGATCTGCATCTTGCTCCCCTGTGCCACTTGAACAATTATTCGGCAATCATTTCTAGGATATTCAGAGCATTTGTGTCTCACTCTGCACAGTCAGCTACATGCCAGAGCATACCTTGCCTCCCCTGCTTCCCCATCTTCATTGTTCCATCATCGGACTTGGCCGTCTTCCTCAACTCCAGGTACCACCTCACCACTGAAGTCAGTGGACTGAGATGAGGCATCAGCACTGCAGCACAGAACACCATTCAACAACACTTCAGTTCTTCCTACACCAGTGAGTAATTACCCGATTCCACTGAGCTTGAGTCACTGCGTCCTACTCGGTACCTCTGCCACTCGCTCTGTGGCTCTGTCATGCCCATTGAATAGGAACAAAGCCCTGCCAGTGTTACACCTTACAACACTACCTTTATTCCCTATTTCCCGGCCTGACGGCCAGTTCCTCGTCCCCAAGATCTCTCAGTGCACGAGATAGTTCTCCCAGGATGGCTGTAGTTTGAAAAAACCCACATCTCACACACACACCTCGCAGCAGCACCCTCATCCATGTCGTTGTTGGTGTCTATCTCTCCCATCAATCCATCGTCTCATCAAACTCCAGACCCTCTGCTATCTCCTTCCAACGACCTGCCACACCCCCACAACAGTGACATCACTGACTCCACTGTGGGGGGTCCTAGAGACATGTAGTAATGTAGACAAGTAAGGGGCATTGCAGCCTTTCAACCTTTTGGGTGTTGCCTTGTCTGCATTCTTCTTGTCTGCATTAGGTAGTAGAACATAGCCTTACAATTACCTACATGGTGCTATCACAACTAACCTCTGTTGCCATTGCCAGTCACAGGAGTAGCGGCAATAGGTAGAACTCAACATAGGGGCCCTGTGTCTTGGTCTCAATCTTGGGGGGTTTTGGCCTGTTGGTAGGAAGAGGTCCCAGGTCAGCATAGGGAGAACGGGCCATTTTCTGAGGAAAGAGAGGATCACAACATGAGTCATGTGACTATCATGTGATCATCAGCGAACATGAGTAGTTCTGGTGTCAATCTCCGTGTACTGGACTCTGGTGTCCTCTGGAATAGGGGGTTGCACCCCTGATGTTGAGGGTTTCACATCGGTGTACATCCCCTTTTGTTTGGACATCACTGGAGGAGTGCTCACACTTACGCCACTGTCCTGTCTTAGGTGCGAGGTCTTCCCACTAATGGAGGTTTGGCTTCTCCTTCAGCATGTCCATCCTTTTTAGGTTTGGTGCCACCATCATCTGATATCAGTTGAGCACCGCTGGCTACACTAGCATTACTGCATTCACTCGGGGAAGGAGAACAAAAGGGAACTATATCAGAGGAGCTGTAACCACCTTTGTGCGACTGCAATAAGAGATATGAACATTTCTGATGGAAAATTAGTGACACAAATTACCTTCCTCCACAAAATCAGTGCAACTACAGCCAAGATGACAACGATGATACACAATACAGCAGTAACTGACACTCCAATAGCAATTGACAATCTGCTTCCATCTAGAAAACAGGAAAGACATATCTCTGTAGGTAATCACTATACAAGAACTGACAGAATGAAAAGATCTCCATCAATAGTCAGAGTCACAGGGAAGACAGTGTTCTGAGGATATTCCTCCACCACTAGTGTCTTGTTACCATACTCTCGATAGACCAGGACACATGAGGCTCCCTCTATACCTTCTTTGAACTCACACCTAACATTCACTGTCACCCCATTCACGTCCAAACTGCCATTGTTTAGAAATTGAGATTCTGCATCAGCAATGGGACCTGCAATAGAGAAAATGGAATGAATGGTAAAATGTATAAAAATCAGCAGACACTCACCGTTCCCCATAACAGTGACATTAGTGCTCTGTTCAACAGCAGGATGTCTGCTACGCAGTTCATCTTCCTCAAGGTCATACACTAACATATTGTACGTTGAAGATAAAATGTCATGAATAGTACTCTCCACAGAAGTGCTGGAGTCATCAGGCAGTAGTACGACTCTGAACACATCAGGATTTCCATATTCACATTGTAAAACTACGAAACACCCCTGAGCCGTTGTGTCTTTAATGAACTCTCCAGTCAAATTTATCTTATTATTGGTACCCTTGGTAGTGTTAGCGGCAGCACTCTGGACATCATATGTAGCTGTAGACACGTAATTATATCCAATCATTGCCCTTGGCACAATAGATAACAGCACAATATCCAGCATGATTGATTATATTTGGGTACGCATACGGATTTTTCATGCATAACAAGGAGTGTTCAATGACCACACAAATGTAAGCAGCATTTCATGTGAAACAGAAAAGTGTGGACCTACTATTATTGGGGACAAAAGACACACCCATTCTGACATCTCCACTTAAGGGTTAGTAAGGCATTAACATCTACAGTACTGCTGTTTGTCACAACACAAAAATTACTGAAATTGATCCGTGGGGGGGCTACTTCATCAGTGGTATTAGGAAGGGACACCAGGAATGAATATCTATTGTCAGCACGGAGTTGGTAGGTGACAACTGGTCCTTCTGGTGATGGTGGCTCTTCAATGACACGATCATCCACTACATCAGGAGTGACTCTCCAGCTACTACAAAATTCACTGGTGGGATCACTCTATCACAAAATAACAGACATTGAGTATTGTGTATGGTACTAAAATTAATACTGACCGATGTCATAAAGGTAACATTGGTCTTCTCCCTAGAGATAGCTCGGATGTGAGTCATTATAAGTGCTGAAGCTATAATGAAAGGAGAACAAGCAGTGAATGGTCTCTTCATGCAGGAATGGCAGCAGGTACCCCAAATATAATCACAAGTTTTCATATCATCCAGTTATCTATTGTAAGTCACATCAGTATGGGTATGCACCAATTCTGGTGAAATTCTGTGCCATTTTCGCACAAATTGCAAACATGGCAAATACGGCAAGTGCTAAAACATTTGAACAAAGTGCAAGAACTGGTATGGGCATTTGCACACATCCACAGGTGGTGTAGCGTCAAAGAGGTATACATACCCAGCTATCAACACAGAATCTGAAGCTAGGCTACAAGCTATCAAGGACACTGTGTGCGAGAGAACAGGATGGCAAAAGTAGTAGCATGTAAGTTCAATATTATACCTCAGACGCAGGGACACTACTAAAAATAATGCAGCATTGGGACATAAAGAGTAGGTAATAAAAACGACCTTTGAAGCAGATGTGGATAATCAGTGCATTGCCGCTATAAAATGTACTCACAGTTGATAACATATCCAGTGACATTGGGACTGCTCTCTCCCTGGCCAGCTCCATTGAACGGGATGACAGAGAAGAGAAACTTCTGACAGGGAGTGGCAGAGCCAGGAGTGAAGGTATAACTTGTGTTAGTAACATTGGCAGAGGGGATGGCTGTTGGGTTGTTCTCATCTGTCACATTGTAGATGAGGACAGAGTACCAGATATCAGGATCAACACCAGTCACATCCAGAGAGAATGGAGCACTCCACGAGATGGTCACTGAGCTGGCTTTTTTAGCATCAACTTTCAAATCACCTACTGCTGACAGTGGTGGACCTGGATGCAATTTATATGCATTTTCTAGTATGTCCAGTTGCATGTGCGTGCAAGAACAAATATTAGTCAATATACATTCAAAAATACACAACAATGATTCAAGGTCATACCATCCACCTAGAATTGACATTTGCCTAAATATTTGGCCACTAGGTTGTAGAACTGAGTAAATGTTACTTGGAGTCCTTTTACATTACTAATCCACTACGTGAGTCCATTTATGCCACATTATATCAACATTTCCATGTGCATGTGTGTGTACAACTGATAAGGTGCCCTCTGAGTATGTCACATTGTAGAGGAGGACAGGCTAATGTGTAGTACAAATGGCATTAGTGCAATGTGAAGAAAAGTATGTCATAAGGAAGTACAGGAACCTGTATAAACAGACACTTCCGGCACTCAGGGGAATCACAAACTGACCCACAACCCAAGTACTGTAAGTACTGTATGCTATGTATACACAATCTGAGTGAGGGCTAGTGGACATGAGTACACAATGAAACTGACTTCTACACCTACACTGTTTCTACAGCAACACATGACTGTGCCTACAGCTAGCTTGCTGTGCATGTGTTTACAGTGTACCTACCTATGAATGTTACAATGTGCAAACAAGTTTCTTGCTCTATGGGTAAGCTAGCAAAATCTGTGAATAGCGTTTGGAGCACTGCTGAACTGGATACTCGTCCTCCAAGTAACTGTGTGCCCCCCACGGTGTGCTTATGGGTTGAGGTAGACCATTGCTTATTAGCATATTGGCTTTTCCACTCGTGTTTTCCACACTACACCTCCCACATACAGTGGTTTCACAAAAATTATCAATGACCTTGCTGCCTTAAAGTCATTGGTACATATATCCCATTGACTACATCGTAGATTATAGTGCAGAATATTGAAAACAGACACACAGACAAACACGTACAAGCAAAGTACTGTAACCTTCATTGCGTGCATGTGTGCAGAGGGATAACAAACAGACACACAGAAAGTGAATACAGGTGGAGGGTTAGCAAACAGTTGGAGGTAAAGAATTATAACCTTGAATTGTCAATGTGGCATTGTCACTCTCCACGGAGGGGCCACGAAATATCACTGAAGCACACTGAACTCTAGTTCCATTGTACTGGGGTCTGGCTGGGATGGTCAGATTCTGCACTGAACTCCCTTCAGGAGTAGTAATCTCTTCTGAGAGAACCAGGTCACTACGTATGTCAGGCAGGAGCCCCAGCTGTGTTCCATTGACTAGCCACAAAGTGTCGCCACCTCCTGTCTCACATGTAAAAACTGCCGGTTTGTTTAGAAAGACTGTTGTACTCTCGGGAGCACGGAGAATCTCTGAAAAAGATTAACAAAAAACAGTTGGAGCGTGTACATGTGACATTATGGGGCGCCATCCGTTCCAAAAGTCCCAGTGTTAGGTTTTATGCATATAGACGTGTCACTTTCTATATAGACTGGTCTAAAAACATATGGACTGGTTTATATATATACAGCACGTCCGATATATATATCAGCACGTGTATATGCAAATTTATCCGCTTATTTACTTATAATCTTCTCTCATCTACAGATTTCGAAAAAGCTGCTTGCAACAATGGCGCCATCTGTTCCTAAGGTCCCAACTTGTCAATAAGAATATATTCTGTCGCGTTTGCGTATAATCTACTGCGCATGCGCGTACCAGAAAGCGCGCGTAACACGATGTCTGTCGCAGGTGAAAGAAGATTATAAGTAAATAAGCGGATAAATTTGTAAAATAGAGCATGACAAACATTCCTTACACTACACCTACACACCTGACAACATTAGTAATATAGAAGATGTGATCACTGGTATACACATTGTTTACAAACCCTGCTAATCAATCTTTATACATGTTATGTTACCAGGAGGATTGGCAATGTGATAGGTGTACATACTGTACAGCAATAATTGTGGCTAGGAAAGTCAAACCTTGACATTTACTCTAGCCAAAAATATATCTTTTTGCACTGATGTATATACCATTCTCACTCACCCTGAAGATGACCCCTTTGAAGCTTCGGTGTAAAAAGATAATTTCGCTGGAGTAAATGTCAAGGTTTACCAGAGTACACACACACAGTATATACTTCAGAGGGCACCAATTGGCACTACCAGGGGTTGGACGCACAAGGCTCTCATCGCCAAGAGGTGTGACATATAAAGCAGACAACTAGGCGGTGTATACCAACGCCCAGCCAAGGCATAACAAGCCGCGCACCGTCCGACAGCGCCATTATTACACGAGTGCATGGCTAGCTGTGAAGTGGTGACTAATGAGAGAAAATGCCCCTCACCTGACGTATCTTGGTCTCTCCTGGGTGTCCCTGGTCCAGCCGTATCCTGTTGGGCCGGGGGTGCGGAGCGGCTAGACTATAGGCACGGCAAGTATATTCAGCTCGAGAGACCCCACCCCACACACAGCATCACGCGGGTCATGAATAATGAATACATAATCAACCGGTGGTATACAGACAAAAACTGATAAAAGTGTGGAGAAGCATACACAACAGTATTTTTTAAAAGCTGACATCAGGAATATCATTGTCCTTCATAACAGCAAAATCTCAGCAGCCTCAGTCTATAATAATATATGTCTGAACGGCTGCTGAAGAAGGGAGCTCAACCCAGTAGGGAGCCCCCAGAGCAGAGTTCATAGTAAATCTGGCCCATGGAAACCACGACTCACTCCAGTGTGAAGCCACTTCAAAATCTTCTCCTGGTAGTTTCCCTGTGGGTGGAGTAAGGGAATGGCTTAGAGGATAATAATGTATACAGTTATGTTATATGGAGGGAAGGCCTTGTGTGTGTTAGCAGCACAGTGACACATGTTTTCACCTAGCGTGCACAATAAGTACACTCCTACAGTGAGTGTATTGCTGAGGTCTGAAGCAGATTATTATAGTGTCACGCTAAGACACTTGGCAACACAGCCAAGCACACACAGAAATGGTACTCATAGTACACACAAGTTCTACATTACAAACCTGGGGGATCGAGATATTGGCGTTTCTTGAGAGGTGTGCTCACTTTCTCCTCAATCTCGCTGGACAGGAGTGGAGGAGGAGGAGGTGGAGGAGAGGGTGGGTAGTTCTCCTGCAGTTGAAGAGGTGAGACCTCTGGATGCTGGGACTGGGGTGGAGTGGGGTCTGGTGGGAGTGGCTGGGAGGAGTCGGTCTCCTCTGGGGATGGTTGGGGCAGGTTCTCCAGTGGCTCTGGAGGTGGCTCATCATGAGGCACCGGTTTGAAGATGTCACGTCTCGTGTATGGACCTCCAACCACCAGCATTCCTTAGAAATGTATGTAAGTTTTAAACCATCCACTATACTTTATAGGGTGCATGTACCTAGCTCCAGTCAGAAGACTAAGAGAAGGGTAGACTGCCTTGTTGAGCCCAAACCTTCCTGCACTCTGCTGACTCTCATTGACACACAAGGACAGGCTGTCATTGACCACTTCTTTAGCAGGTTGTCTGAATGGACTTCTGGTTGTGTCCGTCTCCTCTGGTCCAGTAAAACCACTGAAACCAGTGGACTGCTGAGGGACCACAACAACACCTCCTGTGAATTGAACATAGAAATACTTAACGTTTACAGGTATACTACGGCTCAAACAAACTGTGATAAACATCCCTTCCAATGTCCTATAAAACAACAAACAAAAACAATCAAACAAGATAGTCAGCACAGTGGAACCTTGACAGTGTCCAAGGTGGCTGCTGATATCTGCCTCCCAGAACTGATGGACCCAGAGTGGTAGTCATCATCTGATCCCTGGGTACTCACTGGATCTTGAGCAAAGTCCCGATCATCTGCAGTATCATAATCTTCCATTAACAAATCTCCTTTTAGTAGGAGCTAACTTACCATGCCTCCAATGAGAAAGATGAGGCATTCTTGAATAACCATAGGTGAAAACAGAGTTATTAAGACTCACCATGATGCAATAACTGAGCTGTTTACCTTTTTTGTAGAGAAAGTCGAACAGGTTAGTGCCACTCACGATGGCCACTGTAAAAAAGTTATAATATCTCACACAGAATCATGGACTGACTTCCACCTTCTCCCTCTCCTCTGATTCGACAGTGGCGTTAGTCCCAACATCACACATGATATCCTCATCCTCCTCACTGCTCTCACTGACAGTTGGAGCCTCCTCGTGGAGAGCAGGGTAAGCCAAAAAGACAGATCTGGCATCTTGCTCGCCACTTGAACAATATCGGCATACATTTCTGATCGAGCATTATTGTGCTCATTCTTCACAGTGTCAGCTATGCATGTCCAGACATACCTTGCCTCCCCTGCTTCCATCTTCATTGTTGCCATCATCAGGAGCTGTCGTCTTCTCAACTCCAGGTACCACCTCACCACTGAAGTCAGTGGACTGAGATGAGGCATCAGCAACTGCAGCACAGAACACCATTCAACAACACTTAGTTCTTCCACACAGGTGAAGTAATTTACCGATTCCACTTGAGCTTGAGTCACTGGTCTGCCTACTCGGTACCTGCCACTGCTCTTGTGGCTCTGTATGCCAATTGTAGGAAACAGCCACTGCCAAGTGTTACACATTACAACACTACCTTTATTCCCGGCCTGACGGGCCAGTTCCTCTTCCCCAAGATCTCTCAGTGCACGAGATAGTTTCTCCCAGGATGGCTGTAGTTTGAAAACCCACATCTCCACACACACCCGCAGACAGCCCTCATCCATGTCGTTGTTGGTGTCTATCTCATCAATCAGATCCTCATCAAACTCCATACCCTCTGCTATCTCCTTCCAACGACCTGCCACACCCCACAACAGTGACATCATTGACTCCACTGTGGGGGGTCCTAGGGGAAGAGGAGACATGTAGTAATGTAGGACAAGTAAAGGGGCATTGCAGCCTTTCAACCTTTGGGTGTTGCCTTGTCTGCATTCTTCTGTCTGCATTAGTAGAAGAAACACAGCCTACAATTACCTACATGGTACTATTACTACTAACCTCTATTGCCATTGCCAGTCACAGGAGTAGCGGCAATAGGTAGAACATCAACATAGGGGCCCTGTGTCTTGGTCTCAATCTTGGGGGTTTTTGGCCTGTTGGTAGGAAGAGGTCCCAAGTCAGCATAGGCAGAACGGGCCATTTTCTGAGGAAAGAGAGGATCACAACATGAGTCATGTGACTATCATGTGATCATCAGCGAACATGAGTAGTTCTAGTGTCAATCTCCTGGTACTGGACTCTGGTGTCCTCTGGGATAGGGGGTTGCACCCCTGATGTTGAGGGTTTCACATCCGTGTACATCCCCTTTTGTTTGGACATCACTGGAGGAGTGCTCACACTTACGCCACTGTCCTGTCTTTGGTACGAGGTCTTCCCACTAAATGGAGGTTTGGCTTCTCCTTCAGCATGTTCATCCTTTTTAGGTTTGGTGCCACCATCATCTGATATCAGTTGAGAACCGCTGGCTACACTAGCATTACTGCATTCACTCGGGGAAGGAGAACAAAAGTAACTGGGAACTACATCAGAGGAGCTGTAACCACCTTTGTGTGACTACAATAAGAGATATGAACATTTCTGATGGAAAATTAGTGACACAAATTACCTTCCTCCACAAAATCAGCACAACTACAGCCAAGATGCAACAAGAGTAACTATGATAAACGATACAGTAGCTGACACTCCAATAGCAATTGGTGATGTGCTTCCATCTAGAAAACAGGAAGACATTATCTCTGTAGGTACATCACTATACAAGAACTGACAGAATGAAAAAGCAATAAAGTGCAGGCCCTTGGCGCAAGGAATGCGGGCACATAGCGTTGATGTGTACAATATGCGTAGCAGATAAGGTTTAACTTGTAGTCAGGCAGGCAATCCAATTACTGTAACCACCACTGTGCATGCATCCATGGCAAGGGTTAAAAAGAAATTACCATACTTCACATGCAAGCCAAGGGCTAATTAGACATACCAGAGGATGCCGATACAGTAATAGTTGGTGTAGTTGTCTCAGTAACATCCACTCTTCCTGCAATAATTGGTCTTTGATCGACCATGGAACCATCTTTTCCAAATATAGCCAATGTGTATTTCTCCAGATCTCCACCAACAGTCAGAGTCACAGGGAAGACAGTGTTCTGAGTATATTCCTCCACCACTAGTGTCTTGTTACCATACTCTCGATAGACCAGGACACATGAGGCTCCCTCTATACCTTCTTTGAACTCACACCTGACATTCACTGCTGACCCATTCCCAGTACAAACTGGCATTGTTTATAAATTCAGATTCTGCATCAGCGATGGGACCTGCAATAGAAATTGGCATGAGGAATAAAAGCCAAATGTATAAATCAGCAGAAACTCACCGTTCCCCACAACAGTGACAGTAGTGTTCTGTTCAACAGCAGGATGGCTGTTAGGCAGTCCATCTTCCTCAAGGTCATAGACGAACATGTGGTACGTTGAAGATAAAATGTCATGAATAGTACTCTGTACATAAGTGCTGGAGTCATCAGGCAGTAGTAGGGCTATGAACACATCAGGATTTCCATATTCACATTGTAAAACTACGAAACACCCCAGAGCCGTCGTGTCTTTAATGAACTCTCCATTCAACTTTATCTCATTATTGGTACCCTTGGTGGTGTCAGCAGCAGCACTCTGGACATCATATGTAGCTGTAGACACATAATTATATCCAATCATTGCCCTTGGCACAATAGATAACAGCACAATATCCAGCATGATTAACTATATTTGGGTATGCATATGGATTTTTCATACATAACAAGGAGTGTTCAATGACCACACAGATGTAAGCAGCATATGAGTGTTTCATGTGAATACAGAAAACTGTGGATCTACTATGTATATACATGTAGTATTGGGCACAAAAGGCACACTTCCACTTAAGGGCATAACTGTACAGTACTGCTGGTTGTCACAACACCAAAAATTACTGAAATTGATCCGTGGGGGGGTTTCTCCACTAGTGATAATAGGAAGGGACACCAGGAATGAATATCTCTTGTCAGCACGGAGTTGGTAGGTGACATTCGGTCCTTCTGGTGATGGTGGCTTTTCAAGGACAAGATCATCCATTACATCAGGAGTGACTCTCCAGCTACTACAAATTTCACTGGTGGGATTACTCTATCACAAAAATAACAGACAAAATTTTAGTATTGTGTATGGTACTACAATTAATACTGACCTTGCCATAAAGTAACATTGGTCTTCTCCCTAGAGATAGCTTGCATCTGAGTCGTTATAAGTGCTGAAGCTATAATGAAAGGAGAACACAGCAGTGAATGGTCTCTTCATGCAGGAAGTGGCAGCAGGTACCCTAATATAATCACAAGTTTTCATATCGTCCAGTTATCTATTGTAAGTAACATCAGTATGGGTCTGCACCACTTCTGGTGAAATTCTGTGCCATTTTCGCACAAATTGCAAACATGGCAAATACGGCAAGTGCTAAAACATTTCAACAAAGTGCAAGAACTGGTATGGGCATTTGCACACATCCACAGGTGGTGTAGCGTCAAAGAGGTATACATACCCAGCTATCAACACAGAATCTGAAGCTAGGCTACAAGCTATCAAGGACACTGTGTGCGAGAGAACAGGATGGCAAAAGTAGTAGCATGTAAGTTCAATATTATACCTCAGACGCAGGGACACTACTAAAAAATAATGCAGCATTGGGACATAAAGAGTAGGTAATAAAAACGACCTTTGAAGCAGATGTGGATAATCAGTGCATTGCCACTATAAAATGTACTCACAGTTGATAACATATCCAGTGGCATTGGGACTGCTCTCTCCCTGGCCAGCTCCATTGAACGGGATGACAGAGAAGAGAAACTTCTGACAGGGAGTGGCAGAGCCGGGAGTGAAGGTATAACTTGTGTAAGTAACGTTGACAGAGGGGACGGCTGTTGGGGTGTTCTCATCTGTCACATTGTAGATGAGGACAGAGTACCAGATATCAGGATCAACACCAGTCACATCCAGGGAGAATGGAGCACTCCACGAGATGGTCACTGAGCTGGTATCGTGGGTAGCACTAAAATCACCTACTGTTGGCAGTGGACCTGGATGCAATTTATATGCATTTTCAATTGAGACAATCATATTTTGAGAACAAATATTTTACTAGTATGTCATGTTGCATGTGCGTGCAAGAACAAATACTAGTCAATGAAAATAATACACAACAGTGATTTAAGGTCATACCATCCACCTAGAATTGATATTCGCCTCACTTTCTGGCCACTAGTTTGTAGAACTGAGTGAATGCTACTTGGAGTCCTTTTACCAAGAAATCGTTACTATCCACTACGTGAGTCCATTTATGCCACATTATATCCACATTTCCATGTACATGTGTGTGCACAACTGATAGGGTGTCCCCTGAGTATACAATTACTTGTATCTTGTACATGTCACATGATAGGCTCATGTAGTAGTAGTCTGATTGGCACAAGTGTTCATGTTATTGGTAGAGTAATGGCAGCAAAATGTACTGTGTAAACATGCTACCAGTATGGTAGAAAGGTATGTCATAAGTGAAGTACACTATGTATAGGTTAGATCACTGGAACGAGTCACTACGAGGTTTGAATAACCCGAGGGGGAGGGGTGAGAATGACGCAATAGTGACCGAGGCGGAGACGAGGTCACTATCATCCCGACCCGCGAGGGTTTTCAAACCGAGGAGACGAGTTCAGTGGTCTAACTGGCTTAGAACCGCGGCACGGAGAGCGCAGTTTCGCTTAGTCTTTTCGATAGTGTGCAAGACCCGTTACCCAGTTTGCTCTGCCTTCCAGAATTTAGGCTCGTTGGCCCATTTGCTCATAGCTTCGAGACTGCAGGACGCGTTCATCGTACTAGCATCGCAGCAACTGGACGGATATATCCTGCGAGCCCCGCCAGAGCAAGATACTGCCACTGGAGCGCTCAGCCCCGCGTCGCTTGATCTGGACGCGATTTGTTGTTTGTCGCTAGTCAGACGTTGAAATCAGCTACTTGGCTCTCCGGGAAACGCCTGACTAGCGACCAACAACAAATCGCCTAAGCGACGCGGGCTGAGCGCTGCGATGCTTGTTGATGGCGGCAGTCTCGAAGCTAGGAGCAAATGGGCCTTCCCACTCCTTGATTATTATGGATTTGACCTTTGTGAAACCTCAGTGATCTAAATTCTTCACAGTGATCTAACTTGCAACTTAGATACTTAGTACTTAGATACCTGGCAGACCCACTACTACGGGTTTTAGACACTTGATTACTACGCTTAACATAAAAGGGAATTATTCATGAGAGGTTCTAAACCTGTATAAACAGTTTACACAAACGCTTCCTGGCATTCAGGTGAATGCTGACCCACAACCCAAGTACTGTAACGTACTGTATGCTATGTATACACAATCTGAGTGAGGGCTACTCCACACGAGTATATACACAATGCAAAGAGCTGACTTACACACCTACACTGTTGCTACAAAACACAACATTTCTGACTGTGCCTACAGCTTGCTGTGCATGTGTACAGTGTACCAATGAGTGACAATGTGAGAATATGCAAACAGATTTCTTGCTCAACGAAAGCTAGCAAGATCTGTGAATAGCGTTTGGAGCACTGCTGGACTGGATATATACTCGTCCTCCAAGTAACTTTGTCCCCCCCACGGTGTGCTTATGGGTTGAGGTAGACCATTGCTTATTGGCATATTGGCTTTTCCACTCGTGTTTTCCACACTACACCTCCCACATACAGTGGTTTCACAAAAATTATCAATGACCTTGCCGCCTCTAAGCCATTGGTACATATATCCCATTGACTACATCGTAGATTATAGTGCAGAATATTGAAAACAGACACACAGACAAACACGTACAAGCAAAGTACTGTAACCTTCATTGCGTGCATGTGTGCAGAGGGATAACAAACAGACACACAGAAAGTGAATACAGGTGGAGGGTTAGCAAACAGTTGGAGGTAAAGAATTATAACCTTGAATTGTCAATGTGGCATTGTCACTCTCCACGGAGGGGCCACGAAATATCACTGAAGCACACTGAACTCTAGTTCCATTGTACTGGGGTCTGGCTGGGATGGTCAGATTCTGCACTGAACTCCCTTCAGGAGTAGTAATCTCTTCTGAGAGAACCAGGTCACTACGTATGTCAGGCAGGAGCCCCAGCTGTGTTCCATTGACTAGCCACAAAGTGTCGCCACCTCCTGTCTCACATGTAAAAACTGCCGGTTTGTTTAGAAAGACTGTTGTACTCTCGGGAGCACGGAGAATCTCTGAAAAAGATTAACAAAAAACAGTTGGAGCGTGTACATGTGACATTGCCACGTATAAACGAGTTCGTAGTGGTACGGTTTATGTTTGGATATATATAGGTTAGACGCGGAAGCGAGGTGTCTACGCTACATTGCAACCCGTGGGGCTGTGGAATGTTGGCGTCCCGAGCGCAGCGAGGGCGCTACCCACATGCCCCGAGGGTTGCAATGTTGCGTAGACAACCGAGCTTCCGCGTCTAACCGGTTTAGACCGGAGTATCTGATTGGTGTTAGCGCGTTCAAATGGGTAGCAACAAGCTAGCAACGCTGTGCTCATTCCTCATTCCTTACCTTCGGATGGAACAAGACGCTTGTTTTACGTGTGAGACTCCGAGGAGACAGCCCCCGCCCCCCGTCAAAAATCGTTTACGTCATCATAAAACGCCCTCATTGGTGGTGCGCGTTTGAAAGGGTTAGCAACGCACGGCAACGGCCCAATGTGTTTGTGTATATCGCCAGAGCTGAAGAAGCCGACGCTTTTTTCGTGGAATATTGACGTGATTTCTGACTTTCGCGAGCTCCGGAGACTGTCCACAGACTTCTTGCAGGTGCACTACGCATTTTAAAAGAGCTACTTTGCCAGTCGCGCCTTCTACGCTTACATATACCGAACGCGGAATCGGCCGGTTTGCGCAGATAACGACTTTTGAGAATAGCCATTTTGTACGGGGAGTTTGCTGTAGACCACCTGCAAACGCCATTAGACACCTGAAACGAGGTGTCTATGAAAAATAAACCCCCCGCAATTCTGTAATCTGATTGGTCAATTGCGCGTGACTGCGGTCTAATATCATGTAGATCCCAGTGATTTGAAATCGCGCAATTTCATTGGTCCTAACGCGGGATCTATTTTCAGTAGATCCCGCTGCCCCGGACGATCTATTGTATCTCTTCACTCGTTTTCGGTGGAGCGAAGCGTGAAGGAACCGCTGTGGTTGTGGTGGGGGCGGGTCTCGTAGTCGACGCACGCGCACTGTTGTTGTCGGTTGTTGTTGTGGGCGGAGCGTTCGAGGATTCGTACTGTTGGCTCGCGGCGAGCATGAGTATGTCGAGCTCCTTCTCTGGTCCAGACAAGATAGTATCTCGTTGCTGAACAGCTCGCCTGGCGTCGCCATATCTTCGCAATGGATCTAAACCAGTTAGACGCGTCGCCACGGTAACTACGCGTGGTAGAGTGCCTCGGGCTCCCTAGTAGCGCCCGAGTGCAGCCGACAGCTTGGGAGCCCTCGGCACTCTACCACCCGTAGTCACCTCGGCTCCGCATCCGACCTATATGTAGATTACGTATGTTTTATGCTTATACACTCATGACCTAAACTTTTTGCCCCGTAGGATCTACTTACCATAGGTGCCAATTAGATTAGGTTGCTAGGCGATAGCAAAACAGAATCGAGGATTAATATTACCTTGTGCAAAACACTGGGCTGGAATTAGTAGAAGCAACACCAGAATTTTACCTCCACCTGTAAGTTAACACAAGAATATCGACAGTGTGATCTTGAAACACAAGTGATCGTACAATTAGGGAACTAGACTAGAAAGGCACCCCAACTACACTACAACTATGCTGAGGTAGTACAAGAAATAAAATACAGCATATGATTCCATTTACACGTGGAAAACATGTGACAAGGAAGAAATTAATGATTCCATACTATTATAAATAATGTGGGGTTTTCTCTGAAAGTGCTGCGTTTGAGAGGTTTACAGGCATGAAACACGTCAGTGTACCATTGGGTGCCATGTTAGCGAAAATTTGCTTATATTTGTGGACACCATTTTGTGATACATTATGGATTCAAATGGCTTCTTTCACTGAATAAGCTACGTTTGCAAGGTTGCATCAGGACAGGAAGTTGGTATTGTACAGTGTACAATTATATAATAATATTATTATTGTACATTTAGCTATGGTGAAAGTATATTAGCTATCTGCCCATCATTTAGTGCACAAGTTACCAATCCGCTTTGATTTCAAATCCCATTATGGCACTACTAGTGGTATAGTGCAGAAAGCCGGCTAACATCAATGCATTCACAGTTGTCTATTTTATTGTCCAGGGAGTACTCGTTTATGCTCTCTGGTAGCTACCCTTCAGTAAACAATGCCGCTTCCATACTTGTCTCTGTTTACATTTAGCAAGTTTAGCACAATGATGCTTAAAAGACTGACAGGTTTAGAGACAAGTGAAAATCAAGTGATAGCAACATGTGTACAACTAAGTGTGTGCGCAATACATTTGCAGTCAAACTATCGCTGGTGACATTTCTGTTGGTATAAAATAAGCCTACCAAACATTCTTGTCACCTCAATGATGTTATTATCATTAAGAACATTAACTACCTAAATTTCTAGGCTAGTATCTAATTTACATACTCAAATATCTCTGAAAAAACTTCACTACATCGCGAAAATAACTTCACCACATCGCGAAATTTACATACATTAGGAATATCTGGGATGCAAACTGGAATGGTAGACTTACATGCAGCCATGACCATGAACTGAGCTAATCTTTGGCTGTTGATAAATCTGCAAAGGAAAAGCAGCAATGACTCAAAAAAGTAAAGACAATTAAATAAGGACCACTGTATATGTATAGATAAGGACCTTGAAGGTGACTGCCAAATTTGTTTAATGGCCAATTAGACTTGGCTGTTGTTTTAGACCCTAAGTATTGAGTCGTACCGTACCGTAATGTTCTACGTGATTCTAAATACGCACAAAACATGTGCGAAATATTGAACTGCTCTTGCTTGCTCGCCAACAATTCGTCCTAGTATGTCCCATCAATGACACTGTGTAGCTCACTCAATGCAACAGGTACAAGTACAAGTCAAGGCTCTGGTATACAGATATCACATATTATGACTGAAATGTAGCATAATTCCTGTCTTGTGCATGAGGGCAGGGGAACCACACACTTTCATGTTTGGACAAGATATACCATCCGTGTAAAATAGAGCATGACAAACATTCCTTACACTACACCTACACACCTGACAACATTAGTAATATAGAAGATGTGATCACTGGTATACACATTGTTTACAAACCCTGCTAATCAATCTTTATACATGTTATGTTACCAGGAGGATTGGCAATGTGATAGGTGTACATACTGTACAGCAATAATTGTGGCTAGGAAAGTCAAACCTTGACATTTACTCTAGCCAAAAATATATCTTTTTGCACTGATGTACCATTCTCACTCACCCTGAAGATGACCCCTTTGAAGCTTCGGTGTAAAAAGATAATTTCGCTGGAGTAAATGTCAAGGTTTACCAGAGTACACACACACAGTATATACTTCAGAGGGCCACTACCAGGGGTTGGACGCACAAGGCTCTCATCGCCAAGAGGTGTGACATATAAAGCAGACAACTAGGCGGTGTATACCAACGCCCAGCCAAGGCATAACAAGCCGCGCACCGTCCGACAGCGCCTTTATTACACGAGTGCATGGCTAGCTGTGAAGTGGTGACTAATGGAGAGAAAATGCCCCTCACCTGACGTATCTTGGTCTCTCCTGGGTGTCCCCTGGTCCAGCCGTATCCTGTTGGGCCGGGGGTGCGGAGCGGCTAGACTATAGGCACGGCAAGTATATTCAGCTCGAGAGACCCCACCCCACACACAGCATCACGCGGGTCATGAATAATGAATACATAATCAACCGGTGGTATACAGACAAAAACTGATAAAAGTGTGGGAGAACATGACTACTTGTTAGAGAAGCATACACAACAGTATTTTTTAAAAGCTGACATCAGGAATATCATTGTCCTTCATAACAGCAAAATCTCAGCAGCCTCAGTCTATAATAATATGTCTGAACGGCTGCTGAAGAAGGGAGCTCAACCCAGTAGGGAGCCCCCAGAGCAGAGTTCAATGAGTAAATCCGGCCCATGGAAACCACGACTCACTCCAGTGTGAAGCCACTTCAAAATCTTCTCCTGGTAGTTTCCTGTGGGTGGGAGTAAGGGAATGGCTCAGAGGATAATAATGTATACAGTTATGTTATATGGAGGGAAGGCCTTGTGTGTGTTAGCAGCACAGTGACACATGTTTTCACCTAGCGTGCACAATAAGTACACTCCTACAGTGAGTGTATTGCTGAGATCTGAAGCAGATTATTATAGTGTCACGCTAAGACACTTGGCAACACAGCCAAGCACACACAGAAATGGTACTCTTAGTACACACACATACGGCCAAACGCAACTGCAGTTCTACATTACAAACCTGGGGGATCGAGATATTGGCGTTTCTTCAGAGGGGTGCTCACTTTCTCCTCAATCTCGCTGGACAGGAGTGGGGGAGGAGGAGGTGGAGGAGTGGGTGTGTAGTTCCCCTGCAGTTGAAGAGGTGAGACCTCTGGATGCTGGGACTGGGGTGGAGTGGGGTCTGGTGGGAGTGGCTTGGAGGAGTCAGTCTCCTCTGGGAATGGTTGGGGCAGGTTCTCCACTGGCTCTGGAGATGGCTCAAGAGCCACCGTTTTGAAGATGTCACGTCTCGTGTATGGGCCTCCGACCACCAGCATTCCTTAGAAATGTATGTAATTTTAAACCATCCACTATACTTTATAGGTGTGCATATACCTGCTCCAGTCAGAAGACCAAGAGAAGGGTAGACTGCATTGTTGTGCCCAAACCGTCCTGCTCTCTGCCGACTCTCACTGACACACAAGGACAGGCTGTCATTGACCACTTCTTTAGCAGGTTGTCTGAATGAACTTCTGGTTGTGTCCATCTCCTCTGGTCCAGTGAAACCACTGAAACCAGTGGACTGCTGAGGGACCACAACAACACCTCCTCCTGTGAATTGAACATAGAAATACTTAACGTTTACAGGTATACTACGGCTCAAACAAACCTGGGATAAAATCCCTTCCAACGTCCTATAAAACAACAAACAAAAAATAATATACAAATATTCAGCACAGTGGAACCTTGACAGTGTCCAAGGTGGCTGCTGATATCTGCCTCCCAGAACTGATCGACTCAGAGTGGTAGTCATCATCTGATCCCTGGGTACCCACTGGATATTGAACAAAGTCCGGATCATCTGCAGTACATAACACTTACAAACATCATTTTTGTATAGGAGTTAACTTACCAGTGCCCACCCATGGGGGAAGCATCTGGCATTCTTGAATAGACCACGGGAGAAATCATGAGTCTTAAGATAATGAAAAGCAACTGAAGTGCAAACACCTCGGCGCATGTGACGCGCAGCGTCAGTAAACACATGCGCCGTACCTCACTAATTGATTGCGCACTAGAGCGTGTCGAGCTGTGTATATTTTACCTTCATAGAGAAGGTTTGTAGGGAAAGTCGAGAGATAGTGCCACTCACAATGGTCACTGTAAAAACAGTTGAATACATCTCACAGAACATGGCTACTGAGTTGCCAACCTTTCTCCCTCTGCTCTGATTCGACAGTGGCAATAGTCCCAACATCACACATGATATCCTCATCCTCCTCACTGCTCTCACTGACAGTTGGAGCCTCCTCGTGGAGAGCAGGGTAAGCCAAAAATGCAGATCTGGCATCTTGCTCGCCACTTGAACAATTATTCGGCATCATTTTCTAGGATATTCAGAGCATGTTGTGCTCACTCTGCACAGAGTCAGCTACATGTCCAGGACATACCTTGCCTCCCCTGCTTCCATCTTCATTGTTGCCATCATCAGGAGCTGCCGTCTTCTCAACTCCAGCTACCACCTCACCACTGAAGTCAGTGGACTGAGATGAGGCATCAGCAACTGCAGCACAGAACACCATTCAACAACACTAGTTCTTCCACACAGGTGAAGTAATTTTACGACTCCACTTGAGCTTGAGTCACTGGTCTGCCTACTCGGTACCTGCCACTGTTCTTGTGGCTCTGTATGCCAATTGTAGGAAACAGCCACTGCCAAGTGTTACACATTAGAACACTACCTTTATTCCCGGCCTGACGGGCCAGTTCCTACTTCTCCCAAGATCTCCAGTACATGAGATAGTTTCTTCCCAGGATGGCTGTAGTTTGAAAACCCAGATCTCCACAAACACCTGCAGACAGCCCTCGTCCATGTCGTTGTTTGGGTCATCTCATCAATCAGAGTCCTCATCAAACTCCATACCCTCTCGCATATCTCCTTCCAAGACCTGCCACACCCCACACAGTGACATCACTGACTCCACTGTGGGGGGTCTAGGGAAGAGGAGACATGTAATGATGTAGGACAAGTAAAGAGGGCATTGCAGCCTTTCAACCTTTGGGTGTTGCCTTGTCTGCATTCGTAGTAGGAACACAGCCTTACAATTACCTACATGGTGCTATCACTACTAACCTCTGTTGTCATTGTCATTGACAGGAGTAGTGGCATGAGGTAGGATTGTGACGTAAGGACACTGTGTCCTTGTGTCCATCTCCAAGGGTTTGGGTCTGCCGGCAGGAAGAGGTCCCAGGTCAGCATATTGAGAACGGGCCATTTTCTGAGGAAAGAGAGGATCATAACATGAGTCATGTGACTATCATGTGATCATCAGCTGACATGAGTAGTTCTGATGTCAATCTCCTGGTACTGGACTTTGGAAACATCTGGCAGACACAGCCTGGACACTGGTACTGAGGTCATCACCACTGCATATTTGCTCTGTTCTTCTTTACTCTCTTCTTTCTTCATACCACCGTCCTCTGCCATTCTACCCATCAGTAGAGCAGTGTTACTTGCCTTTCTATCAACGCACACAGCCAACTAAAAGAGAAACAGCCACTCACGAGACAACAGAAACAAAAAGTGACATACCTTTCCTTGTTTCTTCTTTCTTAACACAATAGCTATAATGCTCACAGGCACCAGAAGAATGATGGTCAGAGTCACCAACACTCCAACAGTGACAGCTACAACTGATGATGTGGTTTTAGCTCTCTCTGGTGTCCCTAATAAGAGAGAACTTTCATCATGTCTCATGTAGGTATAGCCGAGGAGCATACTGGCAGTGTGCCTACCACACACGCAACTCAAATTACTCTGCAGGCACCTGAGTGTTGGTGCTCCCTGTGCTATGCAGCAGGATTGTGGAAAAAATGGCAGGTTGGGTGAAGGTGGGGAAGGTCTAAACCTTGCACTTTGCTACACATATGAGTTAACCATGTAGATGGTGGCTGTGGCTGTAAAGATCTCCTGTCCCCTGTAATAAACAAGGCTTACAATGTGGCCTTTCATCAGTATCCTTGTCCATCCTTGCTGACAGTTCAAACGTGTAGTTCATGTCCGGATCAAGATCGACAGTAACAGGAAAAGTTTCTTCCCAGTTCAACATATATTGCCATATGGTCTGAAGACCAGAACACACAGTGCACACTGTGCTCATCAGGAGTACAGTGACTATCACAAAATTGAGGCCATGCCGGGAGAATGCTGGCATTATTTGTAGGTCTCGACCATTAGGTGCTTTGTCTTTAATGAACACATAACAATGCTTAACACAACACTTTTGTACCCACAAGCAAACTTACAGTTTCTTCACCATGCGTAATCTCACATTGGAAGGACAAGTTAGCTGATGTATGTTGGGAAGTCATCCTTCGCCAGATCATGTACAAACAGTGTAATTTGATGCAGGCATTGAGATTTCCATAGACAGATTCTGATTTGTTCCATTACGCTTCAATGCAATAAAGGTAATTTGAGTAGTGTAATTGCACTGAATGGCTACAAAGCATCCTTTTGCAGATGAGTTAACAATGAGCTCTCCGTTTACATCGATCATTTTACCATCAGTTGACTCTGCGTGGCGCTCTTGAACATCATAGGTTGCTGCAAAAGTGCATGAACAAAGTGAAAGTGTGTTGAGTGTGCTGTACGGATTAGTGGGTATATGTGCCTACAATAGATGCCATGCAGGACCACAGACATACACTTTGGTAAATAACTCTCAGCACACATGTGAAGCACTTGGTCTGTGTTCCGAGGCAGCCAATGAGCGATCATAGCGTAACAAAGGTATGGTAATTAAATTATATATATATATTTATTCGGGTGGGGAGTGGGTGAGTGAGATTAATATTTTTAAAATACCATTATTTTTTAATAAATTTTCCAAGTTAATTGACAATGGCTTACCTTGACTAGTGTTTGCATGGTAGGGACATAAGTATCAAGTCCAGTCCAGTGTTTTGTCAAATACTACTCATAAGGCAAGAAACTGACATCGTCAGCAACAATGGCCCAGGTAATCAATTAGCAGGCCTTTATCTCCCATGCGTAGTGGGTCGGTAGTGTACATGTCATGCATGGTTGCTATAACAGCGCTTGGTGCTTGAGAGTCATCTTCACACATTGTTTGTTCTGTCCCCACTGTACTATCCCATACACGAATCATAGCTACCTCTTACCTGAAGTTTTTAGTCTTTTCTGTTCCACCGCCATGATGGGATCTTCAATGGTAGCTGTATTCCTCCATCAGCAGGTAGAGTGAACACAGTTCCATTTGTACCAATGTTGGCGTCAAAACGAACCGTATCATTATAAACAGATACAGTGTGCATCTGTTCCTAGGGTAAAGAGGAAAGTTACAAATGCCACCAGATAAACTAATGATGAGAAGATAGGTAGCCCTTTCCATTCCTCAAACACAACAATACCATTTCAGAAAAGAGAACAGTTGACGCATAAGAACAAACCATTCTAGAGAGTAAATACAATGTAACTTACATCTCTGCATTGAACTTCACGATAACGATCATCATCCAGGGCTTCAACTTCTACTTCAGGAAATTTGGTTTCTGTGGAAAAATAAACAGAGAACAAAAGAACAAAAAATGTCCACTTGCAATTAGGCTTCTATAACAAAGTGCAAACACACCATCACTAATGTTGGGACTCCTCTCTCCCTGGCCAGCTC